TTAATTTTTTAGCTTTTTACCTAAAATGATCCTAGAAATTGCATAACTCATCACTTTAGTCTTTAAAATTGAAATCAATAGAAGTGATCTCTGAATTTATTCATCATCAATCATTTTGGTCATTCCTTGAAAAATTAAGGACCAAATGACAAAAATACTCTCAATTTAATAAACAATGAGCCAAAATGATTTGACAAAAATTAATGGTGTTTTTGTCATTTTATCTTTATTTAATGAAGATTTTTCAAGAAATGACCAAAATGATCGATAATGGACAAATTAAGGGACAATTTTTATTGATTTCAAATCTTAAGGACTAAAGTGATGAGTTATGCAGATCTAAGAATCATTTTGACTAAAAAGCCATAATTTATTGATGGAAAATACACGAATTTTGCTCACCATGCAAGGTACATAAGTAATACAGCCAATAATTAATTATACGTATTTGCTGGTACAATATTGCAATTAATGGCAAAAAGAGTGGTTCATGCGCACAATTGCAAGAGAGATTTTTCAGTGTGATCGGTACATAAGATGGTACACCACATATCATTATACAAATGGTGAGATATGTGTGCTAAAAAATTAATAACTTAAAAAGTAAAATTTCTCATCACTCCTATTAAAACACGTGATGTACTACTTGTGTTCGTGTCACAACTAAAAATTTCTCTAATTGCACATGCAAGCCAGCTGCGGAAGTTCGATGACAAAAACCAGTTTTCGCTTTTGTTTTTAGGGTTTCATTTTTAGAGCAGTTCTAGCTTTTGAGCCGATTCAACAAATGCGAGAAACAGGATAAAAAAAGTGTTAATAATCTGAATTATTTGATTTTCCAGATCTTTCTGCTTTATGTGATCAACTTCTATTTCGGTTTTGAATACTCAAGTCGATATTAATTTGTTATATTTTCTTTTTTCTGAAAAAAAAATGATATTATTCACAGTCACATTATGAGGGTGGGCGAGTGTGCTAAACCTAGCAGTAGTGTGATTCAAATTTGCATTTGACGATAATTGAACCTAAAACCTCTCACTTATAAGTGAAGATAAATACCACTAAACTGCAGTATGAAATGACAATTTGTTACATATTTTTGGATATGAATTTTGATTTGCCAACTCTTATGTTATAGTAGATGGATTATCCTTAAATTGCAATCAAGAACATGTTAATTTAATAACACGTGCCTCATCATCTCCAAAATTTCCTGTTTTTGTTTCTGGTGCAACTTCGTAATCAATATTTAAAGTTGCTTTTATACCTTGAAGTTGTTTTAATTTTAAGTTACAACTCCAAGATTTAGATTTTCCTGTCCTTGTGGAACTAAGGTTTGTTTTGATTTATTTACTAGTATTAATCTTTCTAAGATACTGTTTGGATTTGTTTCCTAGTGTCACTCGTTCTCTTATAAATTTCTGCACAATGTAGAAGAATAAAATATTCCAAATATTATGAGGTTAAGTGATTTATGACTTGTTTGGTATCCTATTTAAATTTTTTTATAATTTCTCAAAACATTTCTTAATAATTTTTCTTGAAGACAATTTTCTTTAGGACTCAAAAACTTGTTTGGTTTACAATTTAAAAATTCTAAATCTTACAACTTAAACTAGATAAAGAGATCCAAAAAGAGGGGGTCTGAGAGAGAAAGAGGATAGAGGAGGAAAAAAAGTAAGAGATAATTGGAGGACAGAGAAAGAAGTGAGAGGATCGGAGGAGATAGAGAGGAAGATGAGCGAGAAAAAGAACCGAAAGAATAAAGAGAGCGGAGTGGAGGAGAGATGAAAAAGGTTAAAAAAAGAAAGAGAAGGGTGAGAGAGAGAATAAAAGAGAGATAGATTTAGAGTGTGGGGAGGAGGGAGAGCAAAGAAATGAGTGAGTTTAAGTTTAAAAACTTTAGAACATGTTTGATACTCCATTTGATTTCAACTTTTTAAACTCATAAACAAATTTCAAGTTTTAGGCTTCAAAAACTTGTTTGGGAGGACTATTTTGAAAAACTGAACTCAAGACTACCTCAAAAATATAATTTATTCCCTAAAAACATAAAAAGTGAGTTTTTAGAGTTTTTAAAGAAAAAATTAGTATCCAGTCCCTAGTTCTTAAATTTTGATTCAAGTCCCTAGCAATAATGTGATAATAAATTTACATGTTTATTATATAATTTTTTAATATAAAAATTAGTAATTAATTTAGGGTTTAATACTCACACCTCTATTAAACTTCTAATTAATTTTCAATTCAAACATTTCCAAAATAATAAAAAATTAAATTAAATTAAGTTTGTACCTATTAGTTTTTTTTTATATATAAAAAGATTCTCAATTTTTAATCTTAAATGTACCCATTCATATAATTTTTCAATTTTTTTAATCTTAAATGTACCTATTCTCAAATGTATCAATTTGTTATATGTAAAATGTATCCCTTTTTTTAATATAAAATCCATTCAAATTTTTTAATCCATGTTTAAACTTATATGGGTACATTCTTTTTCGTTGATTTGAGAATGTATCCATGTTTTGGTTCAATAACTTTTTTTGTTAATTTTGGTTAATGTACCCATACATATATGTATACACACACACACACACACACACAATATAATAGAGAGTATAATTTATATTTTATTATTTTTAATCCCATAAATTATGGATTTTATTTAAAATCTCATTAATATAAAAAAATTTTAATTTTTAATTTAAAAAATATATTAACTTACATTATTACATTAATGTCAGGGACCTCAATAAAAAACTAAAAACTAACAAGGTTTCAATAAAAGAATATTGATAGCTATGGACCGCATCCAAAGTGTCCCGTTTTTAAATTTAAACTCACTCATTTTCTCTCCCTCACCCCCTCTCACTCCAAATCTATATATCTCTCTCTCTTCTTCTTTCTCTCACCTTTTTTTTTTTTACCTTTTCGTCTCTCCTTCAATCAGGTATCTTCATTCTCTCGGTTATTTCTCTCACTCCTCTTCCTCTCTAACTCGTCCGATCCTCTCTCTTCTTTCTCTTTCCTTCAATCATCTCTTACTTTTTTTCCTCTTCTCTCCTCTTTCTCCCACTCCTGTGACCCCCCTCTTTATAGATCTCTTTGTCTAGTTTAAGTCATAAGATTTAAAAAATTTAAATCGCAAACCCATCAAGTTTTTTAGTCTTAAAGAAAATTATTTTCAAGAAATGTTCTTAAGAAATGTTTTGAGAAATGATAAAAAAAATTTAAATAGGATACCAAACAAGCCCTTAAAACCTTACTTTTTCTGTTTTTAGAGAATAGACTGTACTTTTTAGTTAGTCTTGAGTTCAGTTTTTAAAAATAGTCCTACCAAACAAGTTTTTAAGGCCTAAAGCTTGAAAATTGTTTTTGAGTTTAAAAAGTTGGATTCAAATAGAGTACTAAACAGGCTCTTAGTTTTCTAAAATTTATCTTAAAATCCTTAATTTTGACTCAAACAAATGTGTATCATGAAAAAAAATTATGTATCAAAGCATGACATTGTAAAATTGTAAAATTATCTTGTTAGGACGCAAAAAAAAAAAAAAAAAAAAAAAAAAAAAAAAAAAAAAAAAAAAAAAACAAGAAATTGTAACAACACAATATGGCAAAAAAAGAATGAAGCAAACTGATGTAACTATAAAAAACCCTTTGGGGCCAATGTGTCCAATGCCATAACGTATGTTATGAAACTCATAACGTATCTTGCCACTTAATATTATAATTTAATAGTATTAATTTTTGTTGGATATAAGTTAACAATCTGTGATAATTTATATATGCTAATAAATAATAAATGCAATAGAAACTAACAGAATATAAACTAGAATATGAATTATAAAACAGACAACTTGAAGATCGAGGCTTGCGTACCGCAATGTCCTTGAAACAGAAATTTCGTCCCTACTCTGTGCTTGTAGTTCTACGGATGTCTGCTTCACCAGGATTCAACGATCAAGTTAAAATTCCAGCACCGGAAAATTTAACTTCTGGTGAATTTAGTGTGGTTCTCTCAGTAAGAAGGTTTAGGAATGTAGAAGATGAAGTTGATTATTTTCTGTGTTTTAAATGCTATGCAGATGGATGTATATATAGCAGATGGATGCCTGTTTGCAACAGGTATGAGAATGGGGTGTGACTATTGGGAGACATCTCTTCAGAGGGGTGCTTTGCTCTGTGTTCAGAAAGAACTCTCAGATTTCATCTGAAAGGATGAGTCTTTTCATAGAAAATAATTAATTAATTTAATTCGAATTTAATTAAAAAATAATTAAGTAAATCCGAAAAATAATTAATTAAATAATTTAATTATTAGAACCCAAGAGCCCCAAGGCCCAAGGCCCATCTTTTGACAATTAAATATATAATTAATTATATTAATTTTTACTTAAACTCAAAATAACAAATGACAAATAACAAGTTCGTAGGCTTCAAATCCCGTAATATACCTTTTTACTTCACTCGATCTCCAAATTAACAAATGACAAGTTCGTAAGCTTTTCTCTCAAATCAAGTAATATTCTTTTTCACTTAAATTATCTTATAAATGACAAATGACAAGTTTGTAATCCTTCAAGTCTCAAATCTCGAAAATGACATCTTCGTAACTATTTTTGAGTCTCTAACCCTAATATCCTACCAAAAACCCAACAGGATTCTCTCCGGATTCTTTTGGTGAAGATTTTGAGGATTCATGAATCGTGTCTATTCATCGTACATCGTGTGATTAGTTTTTATCAAATATTGTTTGTGTTTAATTTTAAATAAAAATATTTAAAATAATTTATTACCGTATGATACGATGAACGGAAATGATTAACAAATCTCTGGAATCCTCACAAAGAAGATCCGGCGAGAATCCAAATTCCAAAAAACCCTTTGTATCACAAGGATATCATTGGAAAAATATGGAACACATAATGTTATATTAAAGGTTTAGATAAGTTAAACAACCATCTATGATCTATCGCCTCTCAATTACAAAATTAAGCTAATGAAATAATAGTTCTTTTTTTAGTACAATTGTATATTTTACACTAAGAGAAAGAGGAAAATTCGATTAAGCTGTACAATAAATAACCATATTTGGTATCAAATTAGTTATTCACGAGATTCAAAACTAAGACATGTCAAACTAATAAAAGAATAGTTAGAAAACCAAAAATGCATCACAATCTTGGGTGGGGTTGTCATTCAAATTCAATCCTTCCACACAAACCCTTTTATTTACATCCTCCTTATTTCCTTCCTCCCCATTATTATTCCTTTTTCTATTATTCTCCTCACTTTCCTTGCCTTTATTCTCCTCCTCCTCCCCACCACCATCTTCACCACCGAATATTCCTTTCACCACCGTCTCCACATCAATTTTCTTTTCAATTCCGTCCGTAACCTCCGCCGGCGCAATTTCGGGAATGTACGGCGGCCTCGAGATTCGCAAAACCGAATCCCACTCAACCTCTTTAAAGAAATCGTGGCCCTTGATCTCCACCGACCCGATTCTCTGCTTCGGATCCTTCTCGAGCAAATTTTTTATCAGGTCCCTTAAAGCCGTCGTTTGGCCTCTTAGTTCAGGGGTTTTTTTCAGTATCCGATAAAACGTCTCTTTTCTGTTAGATCCCCGGAACGGTGTCGTACCGTACAGCATTTCGTAAAGAAGCACCCCGAGGGACCACCAATCGACGCCGAAGTCATGGCCATGGCCCGATACAATTTCGGGCGCCACGTACTCCTCCGTCCCAACAAACGAGTTCGACTTCTCGGACAAATCCGAACCGGAGGGGCTTTCCGAGTTGACGCGGAGTTCGGGCGGCGCCACCGTTTCGTCCGGCGAAATCCCCGAGTTGCAGAAGCGGTGGAACGGCGAGCGCCGCTTCTTTTGCACTGGGATTGATTTTGCTATGGAATTTGATATAATCCGATCCGATTGAGCTGATTGAGCTGATCGAGGAGGAGTCCTTATCGGAGAGAGCTCGGTGGAGAGATCGAAATCGACGAGCATAATGTGACCGTTCTCTTGGATCATGATGTTCTCCGGTTTCAAATCTCTGTAAACCACTCCTAATCCGTGCAGATAATCCAATACCAGAACCAATTCCGCCGCGTAAAATCTAAAAAAATGGAAACGAAAATCCGAATTTAATTTCCTCGGCAGCCAAATAGAATTGAATACATTATTAATTCGAGAGATCTTTGAGATTGAATTACCTGATGACCTCATCGGAGAACATCCGCTCGGTCTGTCGTTTTCTGAGGCAATTGAGATCGCGGCCGGGACAGTAATCAATGGCGTAGCCGGCGAGCTTTTCAGTGTCGAGAACGCCATGCAGCTTCGGCAAGAGCGGGTGGTCAAAACGACGTAGTACTTGCTGCTCGAAGCTGACTCTTCGGTACTCGCTGCCGTCGCTCTTCGCGTCTTTACTCCTCCGCTCGATCAAGTCCTTGGAAATTACCTTTAAGGCCATGAGCTCCTCTGCCGCCTCGTCGCCCTTCACCAGAAACACCACGCCCTTGGCTCCGCGGCCCAGCACCGAGATCACTCTCAGGCGCTGGAAATCCAAGCTGGGAACCGTGACGCCGTCGTCTTGGTCGGCCATGGTTGAAAGCTCTGTTTCGGGTGGCATCTGTGGAGAGAGACAGAGACCGAAATTTATACAAGTCTTAGCGAGGAAGGGTTCAATTCAAGGGGCGGGGCCCATACATTGGCTTTTACCTTTTTGTTTCTCTTCTTTGCATGCTGCTGTTGGTGTGTGTGGTGAGCTGTGATGCGGACACGTATGGATATTTCCTGGGTGTGTCGTGACGTGGCGGGATAGTGCGGTGGTTTACTGTTTTGAAGCGCGGGTAAATTTCCTGGGTGCTGTTGAGCATGATGTCGTCACTGAAATATTATTGTTTGGGAGATTTTTCTCTTTTATTTTGTTGATGTCTTGGAGAGCAAGAAACCGCGGGAAGTGCATGTGATTCCGTGAGACGGTCTTTATTCCAGAAGACGTGCGGTGCAGGGAATGTTTTGGTTCAAACTGGTGGCGAACGATAAACTTAGGTAAATTACATAATACCCATTCACATTTGATGTCTATTACAACCTCATATAACATCTTTAAAACATTTCACTTTCATACATCACGTACTATTTTACTTCAAAATAATATCTCTGTTAGATTTTCCATCTATTAGTCTGTTAAATGCTGAAGTGGCTGCCACGTGACAAAAATAATAATTTTTTATACATTAAAAATATTATAATATTAACCCTATTGAAAAAAACAAAAAAAAAATAAAAATAACAAAACCATATCCACCTCTTCCCTCTTCCCAAATCATCCAGCCCTAATCCCTTTCTCCTTTTCCCAAATCCCTAGCCCCAATCATCCAGTATGCATCTGCCTCACCGTCGTTCTATCAACCCCAAAATCTAGCGCACCTGCATCGGAAACTCCGTCCAAATCCCTCCCCCTTCTCCGCTGCGCCTATCCTCCTCTTCCTTTCCAAGCCTCTCATTCTCTGTCGAATCTCTGGCCTCCACTTCCTCGCTGACCCCACCACTGATGAGGTTTTTGCCAAGATGCTTCTCGTCCCAATCCCCAATGAGTTCCCCAACGTCAAGCCGCCCAATGGCGATGTTGATGCACAAAATCAGTGAAGACTTTGGTACAACAGAAAGTGTCAGGTTTTGTGACCTTCGCTTGGTTGCTTCGGTCACTAGTGAGGATAAGTACGTAAATGAATAGAGACAGAGAAGCAAACACAGGATGTACGTGGTTCACCCAGATTGGCTACGTCCACGGAGTAGAGGAGTTCTTATTAGTAGTGAAGGGCTTACACAAGTACAAAGGATCAAGCTCTCAATTTAGTGAGTTCTTGTGAATGATTTAACACAAATGGCATTAGCCAATATTGTGGGGGAATGACCCCTATTTATAGAAAAACTTGTAGCTTTGTCACATTGACATGTGTCAAGTTATGATTGGTTCTTGATGTCGACACGTGCTGCGCTCTGATTGGCTTCTAATCTTAACACGTGTCGAGTAGTGATTGGCCTCCTGGTCGGAGGGGAACTCTTCTGGGTCCTTGACAGTATAGCGTTGGCCGGTGCTCGGTAGTTTCGGGATTGGTCAAGTATGGTACAAACAGTGCTCCCCTAAGTTCCCGAGTGAGGAAAACTCCTCGGTTGGGGACTTGCAAGATCCAATCCCTTGAGTAATCACGAAACTTCTAAGTACCGAAGTGTGGTCTGATTTTCATCTGCCCTTCTCTGGAAGTACCTTTCCTCCATCCGGGAATGGTGTATTTAGCTGATGAAGATGCACAAGGTAATGTATACCATATATTGGGCCTCAATTGGGCCTCATGAAAAATATTTAGGGGACTTAGCCCATTATTTATGTATTAAGGAGCGAGCCCTTATTCTATAAAAGGGACTCCCTTACCTTCATTAGAGAGCAACGCCGCCAGCTGAGCAACCGCCTTGCTGCAAACATCACTCCTAGCCCATCACTTATGTATTGAGGAGCGAGCCCTTATTCTATAAAAGGGACTCCCTCACCATCATTAGAGAGCATCAACTCTAGCCCATCATTCATGTATTGAGGAGCGAGCCCTTATTCTATAAAAGGGACTCCCTCACCTTCAAACGCCACAAGCCGAGCCAACCAAGGCAACATAAGCTACAAGCAGAGCGGCCTCGCAACATGTGCTACTTCTAGTTGAGCATCATTTCAGATTGGGCACCGCCTCGTATCAAGCATTAGTTCTAGACGACATCTAGTTACTTCGGCCCACGCATGGACTGAATTTCAAGTCTCCAGCCAAAAGACTTTCTTGACTGAAGACTTGGGGGACTACTGTTTATACCATATTTAGGGCCTCGTATTTAGATCTCGTACAAATACTCAGGGGACTTAAATGTAATTATGGGATAAAGGAAGGGGCAAATATGTAATAAGTGAGGAGTCCTTATTCTATAAAAGGACCCCTCACCCTCACAATTGGGGAGGAGGCTCATTCTCACCCTCAGAGGCCATTTCTGAGGCCTCACTCTCACTCTCAGAAGCTTCCTCACACCTCCTAAGCTCTAAGCTCTCTCTCTCCCTCTTCAACAGAGAAATATAATACAATCAGTGTGGACGTAGCCCAAACCTTGGGGTGAACCACGATACATCTTGTGTCATTTACATTTTATGCAGATTCACGGTCGGATTTACGTTGTTCCAAGATCATCCGGTTTTGTGCATCAACATTTGGCGCCGTCTGTGGGAAACGACACAAAAAGTTATGTCGGTTCTCTTTCATTTTTTCACCTTCATCGTGAATCTGCAAAACCCACACAGAGACACCAAGTTCATCTCTCTCTCTCTCCAAATTACACACAAACGCCATGCCTGAAGCACCAAAGAAATTTCTGAATCCCACGGAGGACTATAACCTCAAAGACAAAAACAACAAGCCTTCACTTCATTGAAGAAGTCACAAAAAAACCCGTCGAGGTTCAAAAACAAGTCCTCGCTGAAATCCTCATCCACAATGCTCACGTGGAGTACTTGCAATATCACGGCCTCAACGGTCACACTGACCGTGACACTTTCAAAACGACACGTGTGAATTTAGACCAGGAGGGGCAGTGAATGCAATCCCGTGCCACGTCTTTTCTCTGTCACACTCACCGCCATTTTCGACTCCTCTGTCACGTCAGCAACTTCCGTGAACAATGTTGCATCAGCAGAGATCACAGTGGAAGAGTGGAACAGCTCCTATTCCACCAAACTCTCCAAAAGAAAAAGCACACCTTGCTCGAGAAGCATATCCTACTCCTACATCGGACCCACCTCTGCTCCTTCTACATCAGACCCACCTCGCAACTGATGATCCGGGTCGCGCCATTTCCTTCTTCGATTTCCCCGAGTACGTCCAGTTCTGCATGCTTTCGTTTCTCACGCCTTCCGAGGTCGTCAGCTTCGCCTGCACATCGAAAGGATTCGTTTTGCTCTGCAAATCTGACTGCATGCTCCGCAGCTTTCCTCCGCCCATGGAGGATTTCCAGCTGGCCAAGTAGAAACCTGAAAGAGACGTATGAGCCTCACTACAAAGATTGGGCAAGTACCGAGATGCCATTAAAAACCACTATATAGTTTTGGACATCTCCAAGCGAGAAGAAGAAGACACGGAAAACATAGGAGCTTAAGGTGTAATATGCGACGATGACAATTTTGCACGCTGTATGTTTGGTCTTGACGGTGCAATAATACGGCTCCCGAGGATAAGTCTAAAAGACAAGTGGTGATGCCCGATGCTGAGCAAGGGCTTTTCGTATACATCCTTTGGAAGAGATGATGGAGCTTGGATTTGATCTTGATGGCTCCGGGAAGAAACAGGTTAGAGAATTGACTGTGGAGGCAAGGATTTTTCTGCTGCTACCGCCATGCGGGGTTCTCGAGGAGATGATGATGCCACTTGGGACAGTGGAGAGCCCGGTTGCTGGAAGCACGTCGACGAGGCTGAACTTGCTTATCAGAAACACACTCATTACGACTTGACGAAGATAAGCTTTTCCTTAATAAATAAGTCTATTATCATTTCCCTTGTCTGCCATCAGCCAAAAGAGAAAAGAAAAAATGACAGCAATAAAGAAAGATGATAGCTGTGATGCTTATCAGAGACTACGAAGGCTAATTCAAATAATGGTGCCAAAAAATGGATTGTTTTCTCGGCACCAAATCCACCAACAATTTAAGGCTATTAAAGAAAGCACAAAGTGTAGTGTGAAGCTTTGGTGGTGGACTCGTGGACCATGCAGCAAAAGAAGAAAGCAGAAAATGAAAAGAAAAAGTAAAGCAAGTCTGCCAGAGAGGATGGAGGTGGAGAGACAGAGGCGCAGTGGGAAACATAAACAAAAGCAAAAGCAAACCAGAAAAACAAAAGCAAGGAATAAACATTCCACCCGAATGATGTAATTTATTTTTATCTTTCGGAGACATCTGTATAAACCCCATCAGAGGGTAATATAAATAAACCCCATCTCAGAGGGTCAAAAAAAAAAAAAAAAAAAAAAAAAAAAAAGGAAAAGCCCAAAACAAATGGGCTGGCATGTTGTGGAGGGCGAAGGCCCATAAGCCTGAGCACTACTCATATCAATCATACGTAAACATTCATGACCATCACTCATGTCAACATCCATAAGCATCACTCATGTCAACATCCATGAGCATCACTCATGTCAACATCCATGAGCATCACTCATGTCAACATCCATGAGCATCACTCATGACAACATCCATGAGCATCACTCATGTCAATCAACATAAACATTCATGAGCATCACTCATATCAATCAACATAAACATTCATGAGCATCATTCATGTCAATCAGCTTCCAAAGCTTCATTTACAAAGCTCTAGCTTCAAAAGCTTCATTTACAAAAGCTATAGCTTCAAAAGCTTCATTTACAGAGCTCTAGCTTCAAAGCTTCACTTGCAAAGCTTCACCTACAAAGCTTTAGTGCAAGGTACACAAATACCACATCCGAACAACCGCCACTTCGGCCCATACATGGATTCAATTTGAAGTCTCCAGCCAACACACTCTATTGACCGAAGACTTGGGGGACTACATTATGTACCATATATTGGGCCTCAATTGGGCCTCATGAAAAATATTTGGGGGACTTAGCCCATTATTTATGTATTAAGGAGCGAGCCCTTATTCTATAAAAGGGACTCCCTTACCTTCATTAGAGAGCAACGCCGCCAGCTGAGCAACCGCCTTGCTGCAAACATCACTCCTAGCCCATCACTTATGTATTGAGGAGCGAGCCCTTATTCTATAAAAGGGACTCCCTCACCATCATTAGAGAGCATCAACTCTAGCCCATCATTCATGTATTGAGGAGCGAGCCCTTATTCTATAAAAGGGACTCCCTCACCTTCAAACGCCACAAGCCGAGCCAACCAAGGCAACATAAGCTACAAGCAGAGCAGCCTCGCAACATGTGCTACTTCTAGTTGAGCATCATTTCAGATTGGGCACCGCCTCGTATCAAGC